GTAGCATTTCCCCTGAACTAATCGCATATCAGCAAATTCGTGAAAGGAAATTCAAAGTAAGTCACAGTTTGACAAATTATTGTTATTATTGACAATGGCTAACCATCTGTAACCATCTGTTAACGACATAAAACATCATTGCCGCTGTGCCTTTTCATCAAAAAATTGTAGAAGAGAACTTTTTTATATCAAAAATTTTCGTAATTGGAAGCGTAATTTTTCTTTTTGAATGCTTAAGTATTCCAATAGGCTGCCAATCCAACGTGGGATTTTTTCAAAATAATGCTTAATAACAAAGTTGAAATTCGATCTTCAACTGTTAATATCTTCTAGAAATGTTCGAAAAATTTTTTTTCTATATTTGTCTGGTACTCTCCAACGGAGCCTCTATCATTCCTTAAAAGGAATGACGCTAATTTTGAATCACCCTGTATAGCAAATAACTATTTTTGAGGTGATTATTTACTATTACTATGATGCAGCCGAGAAGCAAACAAAATACAAATTCAAACTATTTATCTGTTATACAATAGACAAAATCAAATCTGTTTTTTTATACTTACATGAAAATGATCTTCACATACATGGGCAGTAGTCTTCTAAGAAATATCCTTGTGTATACCTTTAACCTTTAATCATTTTAAACGCGGGCTTTTATCTCATCGTACACGAATAAATAGCTTATCTGGCGTTTTAAAAGTTGTACTAGGACACAGTGGCACCATACAGCATTTGTAATATTGTTTTTGTGATGCTTCCATTATTAATAAAGCACAGCACGAATTCTCAGTCAAAACTGAACCAACATGAACAGTCAAACCCCAGACTATTCAACGACAAGCCGTATTTCCGTATTGCCTTCCGATCCAACGACCAGCGCTATGACGTCAGGGCAATTCCCGCGCGTTTAGTGTCGTTTGAAATGAATAGCCTGCGGTCTCAACTTTAATTGTTTATTGCAAATTAAATATTGCGATTCGAGGGCTGATGTTTGGTATGTGCGATTTCGATAGATAGGCAAATATAATAAAAAAATAAAAAAAAATGTTCAAGTTTCCCATTGCAGACATTCTGTTTATAAAGCATTTTTCTATCTAGTCTTGAAGTACGCCGATTTGCCCTGTACTCTCAATTCTCTGTCAAGCCCTCAGCACGCGACCTTCTTTGGTTGACCGTATGTAGTTGTAAAAAACTACCGCGGTATCTTCTCAAGGCTCATTGGAATCCATAACTGCAACACATTTTATAAGTGCGCAAAAAATATTTTCCAAATCGGCTAATTACTTCATAAAAGCATGACACTAATTACCTATACCATCCTGCAAAAATGAAATTTTAATTCCGCAGCAAGTAGTGCAACTTCAATCTCCACTCTTTTGGTGCTATTGAGACGTAAAAACTTAGCTTTTCGTATTCGCAAATGGCGATTTTTTTTTGCGTCTTCTTTACTTTCAGATGTTTGACACAATGCAGCCCTTGGCGGATGAACAGTAACGATTTCCCAAATAAATTAAAGTTAGCTTTCGGCAATAACTCTAAAAGTTGGTGACAGTTCAATAAAAATTCAAACGGCCGAGGCTCCAAAATAAAAATATTTCAAAATAAATCAATTTGTTTACGTCGAACGTGGATGACAGGGTAGAAAAATGAGAACCGGAAAACGCGCAATTTCGACACTGGACGGTAGCTGAATTCTACTTTCAGATATACAGGAAAGACAAGACAAATTTTAAACTCTGCAACGAGTCTCTCTTCAGCTTATGGAAGCAGTGCAGAAATAAATAAAAATTGCCACAAGTGAAAATTGAGACCAGAAGTTGAATCCGGTCAGCTACTGTAACTTATATTTGTTTCACTAGTTTGATTCTTCCAATTCTACAGCTTTCTAATGTATGTTTATGGTCCATCTGGTTGTATCTTTATTAAAAACCAAACAGTGTTATCTGCTCTGAAATATTCAAAAGAAACAAAAACTGAATTAAATTAAGTCAAAAGTTTTCGTTTTCACACGGTTTAACATTAAGATGTTTAAATAATACAAAGCTATGAATTACTTATTATTTCTCTAATTGATGATTGGGTAAATTTTGGTTGCAAAAATGGAAACATAATTGTTCATTTTCAGTTTCTTTTTACCAATCAGTTAAATTAGTTAATTATCCTGCATTAACTTAATCTTTGTTCTGAATGCAGAGCGAAAGTCAATATTAAAGCAACACTAGCAAATGAAAAAAGGTTATTAGCTCTAAAATCATTTTTCACCTTTTTCGCCAACAAGCTTTTATTAATTTGAACGCACAAGTCCCGAAGGAGAGAAAAACGGAAACGATCTTACACTTATCTTTCTCGTAGTGGCTAATTTATGGCAATCATTTGGTAATTTAAGAGGGATAAAAGTAAATCACGCCTTAATTAAAGAGAGGGTTAGGGCTGTTTAGCATATTTTTCAACGCGCAAATTGAAACGGAATATTTTATAAAACCTAATAAGGGTAGCACAGCTTTTTTCCCAGAATATTGTTCGTATTTTTATATAAAACATCTTCAGTCGGGTTTACAATAAATTTGTATCATACATTAAATGATTCTTAATGTATGTAAAAAGATTTGCACGCAGTTATTTAGTTAATCTGCAGTGTACGTTATTATGTAAGCGAGACGAAAAATGTCATTTACTTAACTACATACTTTAAAAAATTTGTGTCAAGCAATATTAATGTATGTTTAGATTATTTCCTATACGGTTACCATCAGTTCCCACATTCATTAATAAAATTAGAATTCAGTTTTCAAATTTTTCCTTCCGCTTGTCTGGTACAGCGGAATTATCTGATCAATTAGTGAAAACGTGGACGTAAAATACAAATTTATTTAAAATCACAACAATTTATTATATTCAGCAAGCCAGAAAATAATTTCAGATAACACTGCCTTTACATTTTTGCGTTGTTAAAAATATAGGTTTATGCATTTAAGCCTTTTGTTTAAACATTTTATCATGTGCTCCACAACTATATAAAAATACTACAGCAGAATAGAATTTTCGATTGTTCAATAAAATGTAGTAAATGAGTTGCCTTTGTACGTTGTTGAAGCAATAACTCATCTATTTAATAACACTGATGCATAAAATGGGGATTTTTCTATAAATTACAATCTTCCCAACTTTTTCGAGGTAGGTAAAGAAGGCTTTCTAAGGTAATAAAAGAAATTAATCACCTCTTGAAAGCATTAATAAGGGTTTCGATAGGCCAGCAGCAAAAATCAATAAGCATACAGCAACAAAGCGCTTCGCTTCGCCCTGGTTTGCTTTTTATAGCTAACGCTATTCAAAGTAATCTTCCAATGGGCCATATGGAGAAAACATGTTCTTTATGTTTAGACGAACTGGAATTCGAACTTGATTGACTTTCTCAGTTTTTGGTTTTTGCATTAATCAAAATAAAGCACAATTCATTGTTCATAAAGAATAAAATGTTATTAATGAAATGTCTCCTCCTAAACCGGAGTTCAAGATGAAGTCAAAGACTCAGCAGAATGATTAATGTTCCATAGAGTTACACTTACTAATTTACATTTCCCTACTCCGTGTTTCCGCTTGAATGTGCCTCGTCTCTTTAGAAAGTTATTCAGTTATAAATAAGATAAGAAAGTGACGGATAATGCACTATGTAGTAAAACCAGGAAAGTAAATATCAGTCGTTCCGGATTGTATATGCTGGGCCCACGTTAGAGTTTGTTAAACTTTTTGTCATCGTTCCAGAATGGGTTTATAGGAACTGGCTGCTTAATGGCATGAATAGATCTGCTTAATAGGAAAAAGGAATATATTTTCGTCATTTTATTTTTTATTTGCTCCGATATCGACAGATAAATAATACGACGCGATGCACAACTTCATATTTTTAACCGAGAATTATATCCTAAACTTTTAAATCCACGAAATAAGCTACCATAGTTTTGCGATTTTATATTTATTTATTTTATATTCTTTGCTAATTCTTCTTGAACATATATGGAATAATAAATTGGATGCTCATTGCTACTTTTATTAATTGACCGCTGCATTTACCTTTTTCATTATTTTCCCAAGGTTTGAAAATTAAAATTAAATATTTAATTTCATTTTGGCAAAAAGAGAATTGAAACTACTGCTATGCTGCGGTTCAATTGCAATATTTGTTGCAAATCTTCAATGCAACAAACCTGTATCCCAACATTTTTTTTATAAATCAAATATCTGTTCTTCAGTTTTTTGCATTTACACCGGCTAATTAAAAAACCAATGCGATTAAGTTTTTATGGATCATTTTTAATGAGCACGATTGTATGTTTGGAATAAGTCTATTACAATTGAGCAGGTTTCATTTCTAAATTTCAAACAAAACTGCAGTGTCTGGTTTTCTTTCCATTTAGAAGCAACCATTTCTCTGTAATTAATGTGCTTTCAAAATACAGATCTTAAATCAGACATTTGCATTTGAAAGCCATTCATTTCCCTATAGTGACATTCGGCCCAACATTAATTACAATGCCTATAATCAATGAAAGTTGTTCTTGAATGTTCCAAAACGGTCGCTTTGAAATACATCGATTTTTGCTATCTGCGTTACTTCAGAGGAAATTAAAATTCGTTTTACTCTTCGTAGTTATTTTTCTAGCGGTTCGATTTGTGAATAGAGTCTAGAACTTGTTCAACGAAATTTAAATTAAAGTATTGACACATATTATTAGAAGCAATTTCTACAGGCGCAATTTTGCGGCGTTCTCTTAAAATAACCAATTCGAATGGCGAAATTATAAAAGCTAATAATACCTGCCTATCGAGCAGTTCAGCTGCGAAGAAATGGACAAATTAATCAAACTTCCTACATAAAACATCCGATGAGATTCCTTCGCAAATAAGATAGAATAGAAGAAAGGAATTACTTTTCCGGTTTTTCTTATAACTTGGTCCTTTTTGGGAAACTTAGATAAAAGGAAAACGGAAATTAACGAAAAATTAATCACCTTTTGAACGCATTAATGAGGTTTTCGATGGTGGATAAAACGAAATGAATGGACGGTGTTGGAAAATATTTTAAACAGAATTTATGGTGCCTTGAGTCATTCGTATTTTAACGACATTACCGTTTCGGTAGAAAGGGGATCGGGAGTGGGATTACAATAATGATATTGATGAGACATTTTCGTAATGATCACCAGCACAAAAGAGCATTTAAGTGCGAATTTTACTATTAATATTTATTATCGCTCATCTCCTTGCGATGTTTTTACATTTATTGTCGCTGATCTGATCTTATTTTCTTAGCTCACAACTAGTGTTTTTGTTAGTAACAAAGTAAGGAGCAGTTTTTTTAAGTGCATGCTTTGTCGTTTCTTTATTCACAAATTACTATTTAAATTCAGATAAATGGGGACTTTTCCTGGGCAAATCACATAGAGTTTTATACTGCCACAGCTGAAAAATCACTCCAATAAGTAGTGACACCAGCTCATTATTCTCTCTCCATTAAAATATCACCTACAAAATCTCATATTAATGATTTTTGCTGGTCATATGAATGATGGCAGGCCCAATGCAGTAACCTTCATCCAGTTTTATTTAATATTCGTGAATAATTGGAAAGAAGCAACTGGCATCGAATAACCCGACAAAATGTAAATGATTTTATGAAAAACAAGTAAAACCCTTCAGTTCTAGCGAGCTTTTCGGAAAGATACAAAATCGATTGCACAGAAAAGGGTACATTCATTAATCCGCTTTGTTTTAAAACAATATTGTATGGATAAGTAGATTAGTGATGTTCAACCAGTTTTGTTTGGGCGATTTGCAAGGGATTTTCGAAAGGGATGTTTTCTGAAGCCAGGTGAAGGGCCGGAAATAGCCAGAAGAAAAAACTGGAAGTTCCGGGCAAGCTCTAAAGGCTATATTGTGTTGAATAGAATTATATAATTGCTTTCTAATTTACCATTTTCATTTAATCTTTTTCTTCTTGTTTACTCATCGAACGGTTGTAAACTGTAATAACTTTACTCTGTGTCTGTACTGTACGGGAGATTCGCATTATAAAATTTTCCAAAAAAATTGAATTAATGTTTACTCCAGCTGCAGCTATAAGTTTAGAAGCATTTATTAGGTTGGTGTAAAAATAATGTCGGTTTTTAACCTTTAACTTTAAACGAACATAACAGCTTAGAATAGAATTTATTAATCGAAATCAAAACCATTAGCATCAACACAGTTTTGCCAACAAGAAACAAGTTTATTTATGCCTGGAGCATAAAAGTCAGAGCGTCTGGAGGCGACGTCAGCAAAGGCGTTTTTGGCATCGTCTTGGTTTTTAAAGCATTTCTCGCGCGGGAAGTTGTCGAGATGCTTGAAAAAGCGGTAGTCGGTGGGCGAGAGGTCCGGCGAGTATGGAGGATGAGGTAAAGTTTCGTAGCCCAATTCGTTTAGCTTCTGCAATGTTAATCGTGCAACGTGTGGGCGAGCGTTGTCGTGGAGAATAATTGGTCCCTTTCTGTTGACCAATGCGGGACACATACGCTGCAGCTTCTGGTGCATTTCGTCGATTTGCTGATAGTACTTATCGGCCGTAATCGTTTCGCCCGGATTCAGGAAGCTGCGGTGGATGAGACCGGCTGCAGACCACCAAACAGTCACCATTACCTTCTTTTGGTGGAGTTTCGGCTTTGCAAAGTGTTGAAGAGCCTCATCACGGTCTAACCACTGCGCGGTACGTCGTCGGTTGTCGTAGATGATCCACTTCTCATCACACGTTTCGATCCGGTTGAGGAACGGGTCGTTTTTGTTGCGCAAAAGAAGAGCAGATGAAGTCTCAAAAGTCTCTCTCTCTCTCGTTCAATTCATGTAGCACCCATTTATCAAGCCTTTTTAACTTTCCTATTTGCTTTAAATGGCGACCGACTGTTGATTGGTCAACACTGAGTTCTTCAGCTACGTCTCTAGTGGTTTTGTGAGGATCAGCTTCGATTAGGCTTCTCAATTGATCAATGTTAATCCCAGACGGGCGGCCGCGACCCTCATCTTCAAGACTCTCCTCACCACTGCGGAATTTCTTGGACCATCGTTGCACTGTCCGTTCGTTAGTGGTTCCTGGGCCAAACGCATCGTTGATATCGGGAGTTGTCTTGGCAGCTTTTGGGTGCAATTTGAACTGAAACAAGAAGATCGTGCGGATTTGCTTGTTGTCCATGTTGTCTATTTCAAGTTTCATAAAAGAAGACAGAATTAATAAAAAAACAAAACCATCACGACAACTATATAGAGTAAAAATGCGCTTCAAAATGACATATAGCTCTATTTGATAATAAATTTATTCAGAAATTTATATAGTAAAATAAACAATATGAAAATCGACATTATTTTTGCACCAATCTAATAGAAGCATCTACATTGATCGAGTTGCCGAGCTTTATTAAATGTATTAGTAATTTTGAAAAATTTAGCAGCATCAACATGTTTTAATTTATATTCAGTTAGGCTATATATTCAGTTTACTAACAGGAATTATTTACACGGGGTGTTTTGCATGCAACTTTCCAGTTGAAAATTTGTGGCAAAAAATTGTACTTTTTTCTTAGGCCTTTCTAATCTTTATAGATTGATGGGTCGAGGCGCATTATATAAAAAAAAACTGTAAAAATGACGGAATATCATAAATAATCGTCGTTTGCAATTGCTTCATGGCCCAAAAAATTGTACAAATCAGCAAAATTCTACGGACCTCTAATTGTCAAAACTTGTCAGTAGACGCAGGTTTTTAGAAGCATCTTGTATTTTCAACTCAAGTATGTTTTTAAAAATTAGAATCAAAGTTTCATTTATATTTTACTCTGTACCACATGCTCATTTCAGTGACTTTCTGCTTGAAACAACCAAAAGCTTTGCCTATTAAAATCTGTAATGTAAATATTTTTTTGAAAAATACCTATCTAAAAGCTCTTGTGTGCGCTTGACACAAACTCGCTTAGAAGCAAAGAAGCAACATTATTATACTAATCGACTTTATTTAAGAATAATAAGCGGTTTAGTGTTAGATACAAGAGCCTTTTGGTTATTTATGAAAAGAAGTAAGCGTAATACAAATTCTGATAATGGCAAGGAAAGCACTCAACTTTTCCTACCACAGGCACGAAATAACGAATTGTGGTCTGAATTTCTCGTTTTCAATTCTCTAGTTTTTGTGAGCTTTTCTTTGGAGTGGAAGCGATCTAAGCGATATAAAGGTTCATGTTTTGTGCGAATGCCAAATAATAAACCATTATTATTTCGTTACTTTTGCCCTTTACTTTCCGCTGTGCCACAGTAGTTTATTTTTCATTTATGAATCAGATTCGAATTATTTCCATTCAATTTCCATTCTGAATTAGTTTTAAACATCAGGTGGATTACTTGTGAAGTGCAGGCCCAATATTTGATTTGCTGTCAGAGCCAGAGTATAGCGTGACCAATGGCCATCGAAATTAATTATCGCCTATCTTGATTTCATATGACATCTCCATCTAACTGTCCCAGTTTTGTGAATATCATTCACTTTATATTTCTCTCGATCAAATCGTATTTTCTTTGTCACGGGAGCTGACTGAATTCGGGTTAACAGCTTATTCGATATAAGTCCATTAGGTGATTTAATGAAACTGTGAGATTGATGATGGTTGGGGCTAAGGAAATGTTTCAGTTATTTCGTTGTCCTGAACTCAAGGGTGGTCCTATTAAACAAATGAAGTGATTGGATGAATTCGTTTAATGAAAAGCTGTCAAAAATGCGTTAATATAGAGCCACATTTTGGCCTATGGGTATACGACTTTCCCTATATACTCTTTGCTCAATAAATGATAAGCAAAGTGTTTTGATTTCGAGTAGTTACACTCAGTTATCACGGTTTATTTTACAGTTTTTTCATTCAAAACCTGTTCATCGTTTTGAGTTTTTAACAGTCTATTTGGTAATGTTAACTAGCTCTTTAAAGAAAATTTTACTTTTCTCATTGATTTGCTTCTGTCTCTTAGACGTTAGTAATTTGATATTATTATTATTTATAGGAGAACAAATAGGGCTAACAAAATTAAATTATTCAGTTGGTCTTACGTAAATGCTACGCAAATACGCCCGCTTTTATTATAATGTTTCGAAAACGTGATAGGTCAAAGCGGTTGAAAAGCTCCTAATGTTCCTAAAAAGTAACTCAAGCTTATAAGTCAATCTTTTTCTAAACCACACGGATATTTTGAAGTGTTTATTGCTTGCTCGAGTCAAGACTTTTAATGTTCATGAGCAAACATTATTTCATCCTAATGACAATTTCTAGTATGCCGGTTTTTTTTACTTAAAAAGTTTTTCATTTTGTGAAGTCTTACCTTTAATCTTCTTAAAACATCTTTCGTTAAAGGTTATGTATCACTGATCAATATTATTGATCAAATAAAGTACAATTAACTTGTTAAATCACAAGTGTAGGAAGTTCTGCCCGTTCAACTCCCAACATGTGTGTCCCAATCACTTGTCTCTGGTCTGGGCTTACATTTTGAGTAGCTTCTCGTATTCGGTTAATTCACTGCTGCTCAATTTGTACCGGTGTTCGGAAGATCAGATGTGTAATCTGTTCTAGTGTTTGGTGTATCTTACATACATGATCGGAATTAAAGCCCTTTCTCGGGGAGTTATTGGGACAATTAAGTATCCGGTGTTTGAGAAAGTGCAGTTGTTGTGCAATGCTTCAAGTACTCCTGGAAGGCTCAGCTGCAATTATCTCCAATTCCTGTTCCTCTAGGTCTGGAACCTGAACACCTTTAAATCGTCCACTATCTGCGTCAACTCCTGGAGCCACTCGTCTGTTCAGTGTCTCTATCCCTTTGCTGGTGTAAGTTTTTACAGCTTGTGCTATGTTACTGTGGCATTTCCCTATAACTAATCGCATATTGGCAAATTCGCTATTAGTGTCCATTTTGTGAACGGAGCTCCAAAATAAGTCACAGTCATACTTTTTTAATTGTATATACTTTCCTGACTGTGTTTCAATTCCAAATCAAATTTATTCCTGGGTTTCAGTCATTTATTGTCTCTATTTATTAATCAAAATACGTTTCGGTGTATTTTTCCACCATCATCAGTTTTTCTAAAATAACAGATAGTTAAAAAATATTTTCATTAATTTAAAAAAACAACCACAGTTTGTCGACAGCCTCATCATATCATATATTAAAATACATCACAATCACGTACGTTCCAATGAAATATAGAAAAAGTGTAATAACGGCATTTACAGATAGAGCCATTAAAAAGCATATTTAGATACAGCATACAAGCATTTACAGATAGAGCAAATAAAAAATATATCATTAATAAACAACTATCCAAGGTCAATTTTCGAACCAATCATAAAGCAAAGGATAAATAAAATATACAATTCAACTAAATGGAAAAACATAAATAAATGAATAGAAGGTGATATCAAGTATATATCATTACCATATATACCGGAAATTAACACAAAAATAAAAAATATATTCAAACCACATAATATCAACATAGCAGAAAAAAACTAAAAACACCTTAGCAAATTAATGTTTCACAAAATTTAAACCTAGGATTGACAAGTTAGACACGCGTAATGTAATTTACAAAATAGACTGTTTGAATTGTGATAACACATACATAGGTCAAACTGGACAATATCTAAAGAAAAGAATATACGAACATAAGCATAGCCTAAGAAAAAATAACGAAAATGTTACAGCATCAGCACAGCATGCTTAGCAGAAGTTGCATAAATTTGATTTTGATAACACAAAAATACTGATTAACGAGAGTAATTATAATAAGAGAAAAGTCCATGAAATGATACAGTTTAAAAAACATAACAATGCTATGAATTTCAGATCGGATACCGACAATCTTAATTCAGTATATCATACATTAATTAAATGAAATAAACACAGAATATTGACTAACACCCGGTATATTGAAGAATTTTGCAAACCAAAAATAATATCCTCAGAATGCAAAGAAAAATAGCTGAAAGCAAAGAAATCAATATAAACAGTATTTTAATCGTTTTGTGTCCGATAATGGACAAAATTGATACTCCAAATGCATGCCAAGGCTTAAAACAGCGACAACGCTACACATGTAAGTAAAAATAATTAAGTATCTGAACGAAGAATTCTAGTCTCTTCCCAAGTTTGATTGTCCTGACTAATCACCTGTTAGGCCTAATTAATTTTAGAATGTTTTAAAGTATTGCAATTGTGATGTATTTTAATATGTGATATGATGAGGCTGTTGACGAACTGTAGTTGTTTTTTAAATTTATGAAATTTTTTTTTAACTATGTTATTTTAGAAAAACTGATAATGGTGGAAAAATACACCGAAACGTATTTTGATTAATAAATAGAGACAATAAATGACTGAAACCCAGGAATAAATTTGATACTTTTTTAATACAAAAAATTGTCATAATTTGAAGCAAAGATCGTCATTTTTATTTTCAAGCGTTTAAGTATTCCAATAGGCTAGCAATCATACATGGGACTTTTTCGAAAATAATGCTTAATAACAAAGTTTAAATTCGATCTCCAACAGCTAATTAATATATTCTAGAAATAAAAAAAAAATCTATGTTTTTCTCGTACCCTCACGGTGAGGCCCTATTATCCCTTATTAGTTCATATGCTACTGTTTTTTCTTGACTTAATGTATACTAGGGCAACAATTGAATAATTCTGTGTTACTTATTTTAGATTTAAATACATTCGTTCTACATCTGCCGCCCATGCAATAGGAACGAATCCACCGAACTAATAACTGGCATACATTTTTTATATACAGTGATTCAAACTTGGCGTCATTCCTTTTAAGGGGTAATAGAACTTGGAAGGAACGAGAAAAATATTGATTTTTTTTTTTGGATAATTTCTAGAAGATATTAACAGTTGAAAATCGAATTTAAACTTTGTTATTAAGCATTATTTTGAAAGTGTTCCATGTTTAATTTGTAGCATATTAGAATACTTAGGCATTCAAAAAAAAAAAAAGATATTTGCTTCAAATTTTTGATAATAAGAAAGTTCTCTTCTACAATTTTTTGATCGTAAGTCAAAGCGGCAATGGTGTTTTTTGTCATCAACAGATAGTTACAGGTGGATAGCCCTAGTCAATAATAACAATAATTTGTCAAACTGTGACTTACTTTGAATTTCCTTTCACGAGTTTTGCGGATATGCAGTTAGTTCAGGGAAAATGTTACAGTAACACAGCAGAACCTGAAAGAACTCACGCCAACAAAGGGCGAGAAGATTGGTTCCAGGAAGATAGTGGACGACAATTGATGTTCAGGTTCCCGATACAGAGGAACAAGTATTGGACATAATTGCCGAAGAGCCTTTCAGAGGCACTCAGAACATTGCACAACAACTGACACTTTCCCAGGCACCAAAAAAATACCAGCCACATTTCTACCATGTTTATATGATCACATTACACCGATGGATTACTGAACAGAGGTATACATACAAGCTGCTCGAGAAGAGTGCATATTAAGGTGATTACACAGTCACTTGTTTGGAGTTACAGACTCAAATGTATATCTTTGTTATATGTAAACAAATTAATAATTCGCGGTTATGAGTTTCGAAATAGGTTCCGTCATTCAACGATTCCTGTTGAATTTACCATTTATCCTAGTCTATCTTATTGTCACTTTCTCTATTTATCCATGGTTACCGGAGTTTTAAATAATTACGAAACAACAGGTATTTACGTAATGTTAATTAGGCAGATTACCTTGAAAAACATTTAGGCCGTTTTACTGATATAGTTTTTTGCAAATTTATCACTTTTTAATAACAATTTTTTTAAACATGATTTCTGTACTCCTAAAACACCACCAGATAACACCTCCAAAGGAATGACGCCAATTTTGAATCACCCTGTATTGTCTCGAATACCTGCAATAAATTTGAAATTTTACGCTAAACCTATGCACTGCAATGTTTACTCAATAGGTCAATAGGCCTTGCTTAGACTTTACTATATTTGCGTCCTCTCACAATACAAATACATGAGATTTAGGCTTCAAATTCGTCCATATGTTCACAGCTTATAATCATGCAAAATTATGATACAAAACGCGAGGATTCCAAATCAAATTAGATACTTCGAATTTGCTTCTTGGATTGCTAAAATTCTGGTCTAATTGTATTAATCAAGAAAACTTCATCTACTCGCACCAATAAATATAAAATCAACTTAAAAGTGAGTTTTCCCCACACTCAAAATCGAATTCATTACTAATGAAACATATGTATTGAAAGCACATAGTACCAATTTTCCGCTAAACCATTGTAGGCATCGAATCAAATCCGACCTGATTAGTAATGGAAAAATCGCACCCACGTGTACTATTATGTTCCATGGCTCTGTCCAATACATGTCAGATGCAGAAGTTTGCGTTTCCATCGGTCACCAAAATTAATTAAGCGATATCTCCAAATTGTTTTGGCATTTCTATTCAAGTTTTGTAAATAACTTTCCATTAATTCGTTTATGCAAAATATTATTTCCTTGGCTTCGTTATTCGAACCGTTCAGAGAGAGGGAATTATTTTGATGGTTTAATGAAACCGAATGATTGATGTTGCTTGACATCGAAATTAACTGTTTCATTTTCCAAGGGTGCGTGAATTTGGAAATTGCAAAAATTATTTTCACTGTTTGATTAATGTTTCGGGAAAAATTTGAACTTTTCTATCTATTAGGTTGTTATTTTGGAAAAAGGCGTTTCATTCATAAGCAGTTTTTCAGCGCTTTAAATAAACACAAACCATCCATTGTATCCTAATCCCGTAAATGCGTGCCAAGCTGTGTGTATTTAGAACACAATGGGTGCAGGGAAGAATGAATCCCAACCTTCCGATTTAACAAAAGCACCAAGGTTACTATGAGTAAAATTGTGACTGCTTCCATTCTAAATACTGCCAAGAAATATCTAGGTATAGTGTTGGCTTTATTCAGAAGCAAAATAAGCATAAGGTGTCTTTGTTTCGGCCATTCTGAAAAACAGTTTTTCTAACGACTAGTGAATAATAACACAATGGAGTTGAATTTCCAAAGCAAGCTTTTCTCATTGATTTAAAAATTAATTTACAAATAATTCAATAATTAACTAAAGCAAGATGATTTGTTTTACATAAACAGCAAACGTTTACACAAAAATTTGGTATTTCATTTTTAAACAAATTGATTGTGAAATCCACAACTATAACGTCTACTAGCACATTCTCTAAACAAAGTCAGGTTGGAACAGGTATTTTAATAGTATTCATCAATGAGTCTGGTCCCATCGTCTCACCCAGGTAGAATATACCACTAATCGCATTTTCGTTTCTTCGAGTTATCGGCAGCTTTGTCACGTAAGGCAAGGCAGGACGCACTAAATATGCCGTTGCGGTATTTGTCAAATAAAGAAAAACGGTTTTGAATGAATGGGCGAGTTTTGAGAAGAGATTAAGTCTATTTTGAGTCATTTTCCAAGGATCATGAATAGTTGTTGTTGCAAAAATGCGATGGAATTCCACCACATCACTACGAGTCATCCAATGTCGATATCTATTTAAAAATCGACTGTATATGAAAATTTTAAACCCCAAATATCGCCCAGAAACTGCAGGTTCTAACAGAATGTTTACAATACGGGAGTCACTTATTTTTAAAACTATCAATTCAGAGAATGCTAATGCAAATGTTGGTTTTTAACTCATACATTTGTAAAAAAAAATATAGCAAACTTTTAGAACACGTAGAGCTTTACAAGACAGAAGATTGATTTGATTCAGTTGATGAATGAATGACCCAACAAAAAACAGTTAGAGTCGTGATGCTTCGGAAGCTTAAACCGTTATTGAAAGAAACATGAAATGTAAATTCAAAGTTTTCAATATTTGTATAAATATTTAATATGTTTGCCTTAAGTTTTAAAAGTTTACTCTCATAACTCTTTTGGACATGGACATGGACTTTTTCTGGCAAACAAACGCGTTATTTCCAGTATACATATCGCACGAATCGTACCGGTGACAATTGGTTTTCCAGCTAATTCAATTCTTTTGAGTTTTAATGAAGCTTTGCTTTCAAGCTCTTGGCCATTATTCATTTTGCAATCCAGGAAATGTATTAACAAATAAAAAGCACCGAATATAAAAATCAGGACATTTATGCGGTGGTTACTTATGAAGCAGTGCGCAACGCTCGTAAAGAGTGAGAGGGTGCGGAGCAGTGTTGAAAAGCAGCTTTGAAAGCTTCAGTCCTTAAGCGAGCTCTGCTGGTTCGATGCGTCAGCGTGAGCTTTCGGTCGGCAGCTTTTGAAACACGATCTGAGAACGGAAAGTAGTCAATGTTCTGCTATTTGGGCTAAAGTCATGCAGTTTCGAATCGTTTGCCTCGTTTGGTGTGTGTTGCCGGGTTTGGTTTTATCCGAATCGTGTCCGTCGTTGTGCGCGTGTAAGTGGAAAAACGGAAAAAGAACCGTCGAGTGTATGGAACGTGGACTAATCAAAATTCCGGAAAATGCGGACCCTGAAACGCAAGTGCTCGATCTATCGGTGAATAATTTTCAAATCCTTCCCAAAGAAATTTTCTTCCGATCCGGACTAGTTAACTTGCAGCGAGTGTACTTGCGAAGCTGCCGTTTAGGGCAAATCGACAATGAGGCCTTCAAAGGAGTGACAAATTTGATCGAGCTGGATTTGTCGAGCAACTTGCTCACTTCTATACCATCGGAGACTTTTCAAGACACGCCGTTCCTTCGCGAACTGTTAATATCCAACAATCCAATTCAAAAGATTGACGCTGGCGCCTTTCGCAACCTCCGAGGCCTGGTCAAATTGGATATATCAAATTGCGAAATAAAAATGGTAGCGCCTCGAGCATTCGAGGGCATCGAAGGGCTCGAGTCGCTGAAAATCAACAATAATCATTTATCGGAGCTGCGGCCGCACACAGTGGAGTTCTTAAGGAAACTTCACGGAGTGGAGTTACATAACAATCCTTGGTTCTGCGACTGTCGCTTGCGAGTGATCAAAGAGTGGCTGATTGAAAACAATATTCCCTACCCGATATCGCCCAAATGCAGTGGAGGTCCGGAAAGATTGATTAAGAAATCCTTCGCTGAGATCCATGTGGATGACTTGGCTTGCAAGCCGGAAATTCTACCGGTCAGCCGGTATATTGAGGCAACTGCTGGCGAAAATGCTACCATTTCTTGTCGCGCAAACGCAGTTCCACCAGCTCACATGAAATGGTATTGGAATGGAAAACTATTGATGAATAACTCGCTATTTGGAAATCATCAACGGATCAACATATTTGAGGTGGGCAAGCAGGAGAAAAAGAGCATTTTGGTGATCAACGACGTTCAGGAGGTGGACTTTATTGAGTTCTACTGTGTGGCGGAAAATCGCGCGGGCAGTTCCGAGACAAATTTCACCTTAAGGGTGGTTTCGCGACCCTTAGGCATCACCTCGCTTGGAAACGGACAAATCGCCGGATTGAGTGCCGCACTGGTGGTGTTGATTTTGTTGGTTCTAATCATAATATTGGTTCTGTTGGTGCGCATGAGGCGCAGTCCCTACGTAGAGACAAAAACTCCTAGACAGATTGAGGTGGTGACAGTTGTGAATGGATCGGCTCTTCCAAATGGCAAAGTGGCGCTATCTCCTTCAAACCCATCAATCCAAGCCTGTGCATTTCCAGAGCGAAAGCAACCCAGCGACCTCAACTTGTGTAACCCGATCCAAAAGCCTCCAAGAATCAATGATCAGCCTTATGCCTCTAGTAACTACAATGGAAACGGAAGCATCGTTGCTGGCTCCTACATTTCACCTTCGTCTAACTCTGGAAACAATCCAGACTTGATCAATGACATGAGGCAACAGGGGAGCACCGAAACGATCCCTAATGCTATTGGAGACGGCACTCTGGATCGCCCTAATAGTGGAGAGTACAGTCGGAATATCGACTCCCTCTATCCCTCAAGCTTGTGGGACAACGACTCTTATAACATCCAGAGAGTTGCTAGCAATAATTCCGCTTTCACTTATGACGATAAAACCCCAATAATCGAAGGAACCAGTGCTAACAATCCAGAAGAACTGTCCAGTTACCGGAATAGGGTAGTTGGTTATCCACAAGACTACGGTCTTCCACTGCCAATGTCAGAAATGACTTCATCAGCAACTCAAGTGAGCCTTCCAGCCACCACCAAGACCCTGAGGGTATGGCAAAAGGGTGGAATTCCAGTATTACCTCCAGTAAATGCTCTTAAAAGGGCCTTGAGTAGTAGCAGAAATTCGCCCGATGAAGGCTATCAAGAGGGTTGCGGCACTGACGTCTAAATATAAAGACTTGATACCTTATACCAAAGACTAGGTTCCTAATATTATATTACGTTGCATGAATGGAGGTGCTAGGCGAAGAAGTGTTTCGTTGATATTCAGGGAAGCATTTTCAGGTACAGAGTAAGCAACTATTTGTGCTGTGGTCTCATAAACTGTATAAAAAATGTAATAATTGTATAGATTTTCTCTTTGTGATATACGATGTTTAGTGATTTTCTTAATTTATTGTGTACAAGTATTCGAAAGGTAAAAGTTTATTCACTGTTGAAGTATACATTGATAAAAGACTGATATCTAGGTAATGTGAAATCTTCATATTTTATATATTGGAGGTAAATGATAATATATAAAGTGCATACTAGTTTAGTTTGAGTTGTCTTTCCAAGTCCATTTGCATTAATTGATTATAAAGCTTTACACTCCTTTAGTACTAAATTTTCTCGGTTTTTTTCAACCAATTTAATCTGTAATGAGCTTACAATTTTGCAAATTAAATATCATTTTTCTTTGTAGAAAAATTGATCAGCTTTATTCAGGGCATTTGGCGATTTTAGTTATCATTAAATGCAGGTTAACATCTAAAAATTGTTAACACCTTTTGATAGTTCCGAATTTTTATAATAGCAAGCCTTTTTTCGATGTCCTACGAACATTCCATGCGAATACGGATCAGTGTGCGATCACTAAATGTTCTTTTACTTGTGATGTTTCCGAACGATTTTTTTTTCTACCTAACAAAAGTAGGACCTGAGTTTTAACGCCTTTAATTACTGATTGATATAAAATTAAAGACTGTTTCTTTCATAATGGATTAAATTATAGGATGCATCAAGTAGGAACATGTGCTTGTACAGCTTATTAAGTTTTTAATGGTATTTAAAGTTTTTAATAATTTAAGCTGAATTTTTAGCAAGTTTTGAAAAACATTTTTTTTTTCATGGATTCACTAGTGTTTATTTCCAGTAAATAAAAACACATCATACATTTAATTGTTCATTCAGTCTGGTGCAAATATGAATTGTGTTTCCTTGAACGGAATCTCCGCCAAGGAGAGCAAAAGCAAGTTCAAGCATGACAATGACAAGGAAAAATACTACAATTGAAAAACACGTTCTAAACAACAGGAAAAAAGGAAACTGAACAATAATTGATTTTAGGCTAGAAAATTTTACAGTTGAAAAGCAATCAGTAGCTTGATCATTTGTTAAAATATTACATTTTTTTAAACTTTGAAACGTGGAAAATAGTTGCGACATTTTACAGTTTATAGAAAGAACTGAGTTTTTACCACGCTTTCCGAAAAATCTTGTTTCTTCATAGTTTAACTAGTGTTTATTTCCCGAAAATAAAAATTGGGGCATTTACAAATTAAATTGTGCATTTAAGCTGATGCAAATATGAGTTTTGTTGCTTGGAAAGAAACACAAGTTAATCTTTGGAAAAAGCAATAAGTACAATTTGTATATTTTTCGTTACTAAGGCTTTAGAGAATAAAATAATTTTTCGAATCCTGTAAATATTCAGTAAAGTCATAGAACTCAACTTTTCACCAACATTTCCCTCAATTGACTTTAGAAACCTTTTATGTGCTTTCCTTCGGTCATAGTCAAATATATGAAAAATTGTTGCTTTTATGTTGTCCCCGCTTGACTTTAAAATACTTTTATTGTCCCGACAGAATCTCGAATACAGTCCCTGTTAATTTTTACTTTAAGCCTCGTAGATCCAGAGCATATATTGATTCAGGAGTTTATTGGCATTTCAAATAAAATTTTTATTAAGAAACGTCTGAAATTACTTTACCCTCGAAAACAAATGTTATTTTTAGATGCTTAATTGGAATGAACTTGAGCCTGCCATTAACGGTTTTATCAAATATTCATAATATGGACTTATTTTCCAGTATCCTAAATATGGATTGCTCCGTCCTCTTTTCCAGAAGAAAGCCACACTTTTATAACATTATTGATAGCTTATCGTGTGGTTCCGGCCTAATACAAACAATGAGTATTTGTGCGGAACATTATTCTAAGTTTAATTTGTAGAGTAAACCATACGAAACTGGACATGTCATTTATCAACATTCAGTTAAATATCTTATTACGAATTAGTGCACGTGCGATGATCACTTTATAATAGTCTATCATTTATTTTTAAGTAATGCCGACAATTTCTTGAATAGTAGTAATGGAAATGAAAGTTTGTTTTTTTGAAAATTGTATTTAAATCGACCTCTATAACATTCTGTTGAAGGGTTTACTGTAATTTGGTATCGGCCATTAATTGAAAATACATATTGGAGTTTTGGAGCCTAACGAATAATTGACGAACGATCAATCGCCTCATTTTATTCCTGCTAATATTTTTATTTTACCATTGCTCAATTCATCAGAGAAATTTATGAATTTCGTAGAAGTTTGAAATATTCCCACTGAGGGCTTTCGAATGTTTGATGGACTTTGGTGGTTATAACACAATATCCGAGCCAATATTTTGTAGTTGTTTACAATTTTAAATTTGAAATCCATAAAATTTTACTTTTGAATTTAAAACTCATCGATTTTTTGTAATTAACAGTTCAAGATCTCGCAAAAGTTGCTAGTTTGGGTATTTCACTTGCAATTGAATACTGATCTAATTTCGAAAATTATCATATTTCCGAAAAAAGGCTTTCTGTCTGCTTCATATGAGGAAGGAACTAACTTAAAGGAAGTTGGAGACGACAGAGAAAATTTCCAATTTTATCCGGCGCTCAACTTACCTAAAGATTACATTAGATTATCGATATATTTTCCGTGCTTTTACGGCCACTAGCTCAATAACTATTCCGGCTTAAAGGAAATTGTAAATTTTGGCGCAGGCGATTGTTTTTTTAAGTTAACTTTAAAATGCGAGTTTCAAAGGAAACTGTTGATCCCATTTTAAGTTTGGAAACCTATTTGTACTGCTTTGAATACATTGCCTAATATTTATCTTTTTCAGACTCGAATTTCCAAAGTATGACAACAAATATATAATGTTTCAAATAGACATGAATTCACCGGTGATTTTTTCGTATAGTTAGACAACTCTTGTAATAATTATTTCACCTTCAGTTTACTTTATGTGCAAGTTAATAAAGTAATTGTTAATAAGCCAATAATAATAATAATAATAAATGTAAAAACAGGCATTGTATAATGTATAGTTGACGCAGTTCTAGACCCAATTGTATAAAAGTCGATAATCGATTCTGTTGACTTTCAATAACGATAACATAATAATACCTAGGATAAAACTAATAAAAAATTTTGTATTTTATTTTTGTATTGTTCAAAACGGACTATGTAGATGAAAATTAACTTTGGCAAATTTTCTTTGTAATATGCATTTGTTGTTCCTGATTAAATTATGCATTGCCATTTGCACGAACAACAAATTCTAGTTTACAAAGCAATGCGCTCTGTAAATTACATAATTCAGTATTGCCTAAATATAATTTTCAAAGTAATAAAAATTCAGTATTTGTAATGTTATCAGTACGTATGTAACATTGGAAAAGATAATAATATCTTTTATTAAATGTCTTACAAAATATATCTTCGTTTTTTTCATGGAGATTGGAAAACTTTGGAAGTAGTTAGATCATGTAGAATTTGGTGAGTCTTTTGAAGACACTACTGATGTATTAAAAGTGAAATCTTGTCTATTTTGAACAAATTATTTGGAATGGCTGCTTGCAGCGTTGTTTCATAAAATTAGACAAAGTAGATTAGCATTGTACATGAATGTTGGTTTAAGGGATTCGTTATGAAGTTGGATTTTATTAAGGCCATCGTCAGGTAAGCATGGTATGAAGTGGTAAACAGTGGAAAACTGGCCAGAACGTTGTAGCTTTGATAAGATAAGCAAAACTGGCTATTTTTAATGTATGTTCACCACGCAATGAGTATCAAGAATAAATTTGACTAAAAATACTGTAATTTTACACGTTAATAGGTTCTATATTTAGTAATGATAACAAAAGTTTAAATAAAAATAATTTAGCTCGCCCGTGTTCTATGTAGTCTCAAAGATAGGAATTTCCACGGTTGAATTCAATCCAAAACCCGTGAAGATCCTGTGAAAGCAAATGCAAGTAACTCGAGCAGCACAAAGCAAAACCATGACTGAAATAATTGTTTTTGAACAAGTTCAAGTAAAAACCGCAAAATGTTCCATAAAAAGTGATTGCTCGGTATTTCTCGTTCCAACAGACAAGTTGTGTAATGAAATTGTTGATTCCGGTTTAGTATTGAAAAAAATCAACCCATTCTTACTGGTTATTTCGTATTAGATTTGTTTGCCTTTTGCCTATCGGCAGTTAAAATGCCATTAACGCTTGTAACAGTTTTTTAGGTTCGGAATAGCGCTTTTTGAATTTATCAATGGTCACAGTTGTTCGTATCGGTTTCATTTATTAGCGATGTTGTTCGAATTCGAATTACAATAATCCGTTAGCGTTACTGTATCGCTGCAATGAACTAATCAAAACTTTCATTTAAATGGTAATTCCATTTATTAACAAGAGACTATTTATTTTAAATCTATTAGACCATCGTAGCATGACAGTTGCATTATACAGTTCCACAACATCTGATTGGGATCTGTTCCAGATATACATCCAGGCTTGAATTAACAGGGTCTATTACAGTTTGGTGATTTTGTGGTAGGGAGCCTCATTTGGATACTAATGATTTCAAAGCAATTTTGTCCGAAACATATCAAGAATTTAATAGCCGAAGTGATTATAGGCTAATCACCTTTAATTAATGGATGCTTTAAATGTAGCCACGGACAAGTTTTTTGACTTCAAACGTAGCAATAATGTTGAACTGCGCATTTTCGGTTACTGTCTCATCTCTTCCTTCCGGGTTCAAATTTACAATATGATTACTCTAGCACTGGCAGATATTCCAGATGCAAATTCTAATGTGTAGAAAAAGTCCCCAGTCGTTTTCTTGCTATCAAAATAACATCAACATAAATTAGATGAAGCAAACGAATTTAAAGATCTAAATTAAAACCTATGCGTAAAAACTATAGAGGGCAATAATAGCTGTGGTTCATTAGCGCTTTGAGCTACATGTGAATATTCATAGAGTGAAATTGTTTGGTATATAATGGGCAATCAGATGCTATTGATTTATACACAATTTAGCCGCACCGAACAATGGTAGCGGTGTTTACCTAATATGTAAATTCCTAGTGCAGTTGCGGTTCAAACACGCAAAACAGTCTGTGTTGATCTCTGCTCTAACTTTGCCAGTTTCCAGTTCGGATTTTCTCGCGAATTTGCCCCTGCAGCTGGCAGAGCATCCAAAGTTTACCAGGTACTTTCCAAATTAGTATAAATCCCACATACTGTGCACATTTTCCTTCATTTCAGAAGGAAGATTGCATTGCTCAAACGATTTGTGGTCTAAAAACCAATAGCCATGTTAAACGCTGATACTGCTAATCAAACATAAAAACGGAAATAACAATAACCCAGCATCCATTGTGCGAGTCCTATAATGAACAGCATTATTCCCAATCCAACAAATTAGAGAAAACCTTTGATGCTTTGGACATGCAATGGCTAATAGTCGAGCACTGGCTGATAATGGGATAAAAGAAATCACGGTGTAATTAAATTTCAAAATCACCTATTGCTTTTAAATGAAGGAAATTCTCAAAAAGAATTTGCAAATTGTATATAAATGGGAGATGGAAATTGGTAAATCTCAAATTAAGGAAATGGAAGTGGCATTGAACATTTTCGTCAAAGTGCCACCATGTTAAAGTAGTTTAAACTCTGTTTAAAGTAAATTAACTTCGACTCATTTTCAAATTATTTGAAAAGAAACCCCGTATGTTCACGTGTTTGCTGATTTTTTCAGGAATTCTTCTACGTTAGTTAATTGCATTCGCCACGAAAAGACAATTAACTCCCGATGTATAATGGAGTTGAGGAGGAAACCAATTATTCCCACGTTGCCTGCAAAGTGACCTAAAACGACTATTTTATCAAAGAGAATTATTTGAAACTTATTCTGTTCTCTGACAAAAGCAGGTTCGCTCATCTGCTCAAATATATTAACAGAACTAAAGTGGTCTATTTATTGAATTGTAAAGCATGTTGGAATTCAGGAGTCTTTTATCCGACGGATCATTCAATAAATGTTCCGCTGCTTAAGCCCTAGTTGTGTTTTTTTAATATAACATTTGCTTTGTTATTTGAATAATTATTAATGTTGATAGGGAAAAATTGTCTTATCTTTGCTTACGTATGCAGGCCTGAATGCCACACTGTTACCTATTGCAATGGGCATTAAATAGAAGATCTGCAAGGAGTATTTCTTTACCAACATATTAATCTCTCGGAACAGAGTTTTCCACTGGCCATTGACAGCATAGCTATGAAACTTATGGGCCAAATAGACAAAAAACTTGTTTTTCGTGGTATAAATATCATGATGATTTAAACGACTCATGGCAGAGCTTGGATAGTTACTGAGGCCCAATATGCCTTTGAATGAATGAATGCCAGCCGCTTCCATATTATTAATACCATTTTTAATAGCCTGTTATGTCGATGGTTAAGTTTCATACAGCAACAAGTTAAAAATAATTGTTTTGAGAAATTAAATGTTAACGATTACAGGTTTTTGGAAATTGTAACAAACAACAGAATAAAGTCTGATCCATTTATTTGTTCTGCGATTGTTGTTAGCAGACCGTCTAATAACAATAATAAGTCACGAAAAGTACTTGTTTTAATAATTTTAAATACGTTAGTGATGATTTTGTGACTTGTTGCGTATGAAGCTTGTCCACTTTGTTTCCTATGTTGAGGTGCCCGTCTTTTAATCTGTAGGGTTCAGATTTATTGATTTTTCATATTTTTGTTGTTATAGAAAACTTTCAGCTTGTGATTATACTCGGTAAATAGACCAGTCTGTTCACATTCATCCTGCAAACTATCTAACCTAAACTACACACTTCTAATCGGAATCACTATTATCTGCTGTACCTGTCGTCAGTGAACATGATAATTCTCTATAAAAAGTCGAGTATTGACTGGGAATCGCATTACTGTTACACAAATCCACCAAATCCATTTTTTACTTGCGAAATTTTAATGGGTGCGTTATACCCCTTTGTAGGTTTAATGTTGCTATCATGACTTCGTCTAGTTTTGTGGCGGACATTAATTTCGCCAAATTCATTTTTTGAATATGACATTCGGTTGAGATAAATTCTGATCTTGTGCCTTTACATTTCCCAGAGTAGCTTCAATTGTATTTACCATGATGGTATTTAGCTCCTCAGCAAACTCATTTGCAATATTATCTCCAACTTGCACGATGTTCTGGGTATCAACATTTAAGAACTTTAGTTGTCCCTGCAGATTATCTGCCAAAGAAGCCTCAACAACTCGATCATAGTTGAAAATAATGTGCTCTTCTCATTCGAAGTGTGAAACATTATCCACATTAATCATATTATTGGTTTGGTTGGTGGCATCTGATAATTCTAGCAAGTCGTTATTGTTATTGATGAAATACTTTTTAACCATAATGTTTTCTTTTATACTGTTTTCTGTATCTAAGTCCTCTGTATATTCTGGCTCTACATTTATTTTTATTATATATAGTACAGGTTCCATCTTTTGCATATTCATTTATGACTGCATTGATTTGGGCTGATTTTTCCTTCAAATGGAGTTTCGTTTTTTTATTATCTATTCGAAAAAACATTAATTTAAGCTAGGGGCTCCGTTGCCTATTTTGTAGAAAACCGCCACTTTTCTTGCCAAATGCAACAAATATTGGGCTCTTATTTCGCCACAACGTTGTATGCAAATAAATTTATCAATTTTGCAACTAAATAACTATTTATAATAAGCGAAAAGCACAAACACCAAACACACGATTCTCTCAAAAAATAATGACAAACAATTAATCTCAAGTTCAAGTTGTTCAGTACCATAAGGCAATAACTCGAAATATTGCTCTATGGAAGTGACATAATTATCCAATACATTTAAATCAAAGAGCAACATGTCTAATTGTTGCTTTGTTAAGCTAGAATAATTATAAATTCGGCTTAACACAAAAAGCAAATATCTCATTAAAAGTTGACAAGTCCTAACATTTTAAGTTGCTGATGTATGCAAAAGATTAACTACTTAATTTTGGACATTGCCGTATTAAACTAAAAATGGCCAAATTTGGACATGTTGATGTATGGAACTGGACCATCGATAGGTCTGTGATTCTTAGCTTGCGGTAGGGCAAATCTAGTGGAAAAGACGGTCTAAGGAAGCTTTTATCTTGATGAGTAGGTAGCTGCGAAAGAATTGGTTTGAAGACACAGATAAATAATCTTTTTGGAAATTCTCAAAATTTCGACTTTTTTTAATTTATAATAATGATTCTGTTTACGTCAATCGCCAAATCCCCGACAAACGAAATATGGTTCCCAGACCTATACATAATAAGCTGTTAAGAAGTAGCAGCCATAACAAAAGCAGCCGATTGATTATGAATAAATTTTAATTTCATTTTGATAAT